AAGCCTGGGAGGGAGGGCGAGTAGCGGCGCGCGAATCAGCTGTTTCGCGCGCCGTGGCAGCAGCAGCGGAGGTGAGCTAGGGCGGCCGGGGCACATTTTTAGGGGCGGCATTCTGGCGCCGGCCATGCCGCCCCTAAAAATGTGCCGTCCCAAGCACCAGCTTGTTTTGCTGGTGCCTAGAGCCGGCCCTGGTTCTGGGGCAGTCCCAGTATGGTAGTTTCTTGTTTAGACACCCTCATGATATACATTCCAAAACTAAAACCTGGCTTTCAAAAACCAACCTATTTTCATCATTTGGCATTTTTCTTCTCTCCCACTCCTTCTCTTTCCCTTCTTTTTCCTCTCTTTTTCGGTGACATTGACAATTTTTAGTTTTGGTTTTTCATTGAAAAACTGGGGGAAAATTCAAAATTTCCTGCAAAAACCAACAATCTTTTCCAACCAGCTCTACTTTTCTTAGGGCATAATTCTACTTTGTGTGACTATTGTTTTGCTTATATGTATAAATTTCTTTTTCTCATCTTCTCATTTAGAAAAAGGACAGTTTGATTGAAACTTACTCTATATCATTTGGCACAGTACGAAAAGTTTCCACTGTTCCATTAAATTGCTCTTCTTGTATAAAAGCAAATGAAAGAGGTTGAGGGAGGGAAAGTTCTCAGCTCACACAAAACAAAGTCAGCATGTTAAAACAGGGAAACTTGGCTTCTCTCCTTAGTGTCCATTTAAATCAGTGTCTAACATTGTTCTTACAACTTCTTAATTTTTGCCAATTGGAAAACCACCATATCCTGTTGTACTTTGGTTGTTGGTATAATCTTCTGTTTCATTTTCAACAGGAGAAGAGCAGTAGAGAGGGAAGTCCTCAGAAATATCAAATTACTTTTGCCTTCACATGCAGCTTAAGCAAGTTATATTGAATGCCAAATGGAATTGGATAACAAGTGCAGTGTGAGATCTTACAGAATTAACCAGTCCATTAAATTGCACGTGTGCTTTGAAAATGTCTAAAAATGACGTCTCTTTTCTCAATGGATTGGCCTCCTCTTTGTATCAAGACTTTCAAGAGTCATATCAGCTTACTGTGGTGGCAAAATTATTTTACTGCCTTACTCCTGGTAGCCCTACAGATCCAATACACCTAAGAAATAGGGAGCTGGATCTGTTCTTCTTGTGCATCAGTAACATAATTATTTATTAAGTTCCAACCCGTTACTCCTTTGAAAATCTGTTGAATGTAATAGGATTGCACAGGTGTCATTGAGGCTTAATTTGGTCTGCCAAATCTGATGGTGATGTTTATGAAGGACAGACTCTATCTAGACTCTCAGAGCCAGGCTGATATTGCATGGCTGACAGTTGGATAAAATATCTTTTTACTTTATCTGAGCACATTTGATAGGGAACTCACTGAAAGACAATAAACCTGGCGCCCTGGAGTGTCATTTTTACAGTCACCTTAGAGCAAAACCCCACTTTACATTAGATGTACAGTACTGTGCATTCATATTTTGGAGTATCAAATTATTTGAAGTATATATTTATACAGATCAAGGATTCCTTTCACTGCTAGCATAAGCATCATTGTAACATCATTGAACTAAATGAAGTGCCTAATTCTGCACACTGAGATTTGGCTATTTCGCTGCCTTTTAAAAGAGAAAGCATTGTAAAACATTTAATTTTCTATATTGCATCCTGTTTAAACTGTTTTGCTTAATGCACAGCAACAAACAAAAATAACAAACCTTTACACACTTTCAGCTTTCCAAAAAGGTTGCTTCTAGTTCAGCAGGTTAGAGTCAATTGTGCTTACAGGACAGAAAGATAATCTACAATAAATACATTGTATTGAGAGAGTGGAAAGACTTTTTCACAGCCCAAAATGTGCTGAACACAAAAATGGTTAAAATCAGTGATAACAGGGAGAAAGACACACCCCTGGCTGAGCCATACAGTTCAGGAGACAGCATCCACTCATTCACAGCTGTATCCAATCAGCACAGCCGTGCACCGTGAGTGAAGAGAGAATGAGGGGGGCCTGATGAAGAGAGTGGGAGCTGACAGGATTTGGTTCAACTTGATACAAAATGAATGAGCTACCATTCCCAGGAGTATTCAGCACAGGTCGTTGAAGTACAAGTACATGGCTGGATCCAAGAGCAGTTTGCATCATCTGTACATTTAACAGTTCCAGGCAGGGCATTGAGTTGGGTGGTTGTATCTGACGTGCTTGGCATTAAAATCCTGTTTGCTGCAATAAAAAAGGTAAGAAACTTAAAAAAGAAAAAAGAAAAAACCAACCAAACCCAACCCTACTCCTCCTATCATATACACCACAATGGAGACATAGTAGTAGCCTTTGTCTCTCACTGTATTTTCAGAGTGTGGTCCATTAGTTTAAAGATCCTGTGTAGCTGCCTGCAAGGCAAATGACAGCTTCTAGTGTGACAAAGGCAAGTCAGGTTTCTTTTCTCAAGAGCTGACACTTAACAACCTTCAGAAAGGCATTGTAGCAGAGATGTGGAAATATATGGTATGCTGTAAGTATTTGTTGCTTCTCCCCTCCCCCCACTCCTCCCCCTACAGATGTTGCTCATTTGAGCGGTAAACTGATGAACATAGCTTAGACCTTGAGATGCTTGATAGATTCATTGGTCAGTGTTCAGTTCAGAATTCCTGTTCCTAAACTGGCTGCAATTGCTGGCTTCATAGTAACCTGCCTAAATCTGTGTGTAATTCTGTTGTGCCTGGGCATAATTTGTTTTTATTGCCAGTGCTGTGTTAATAGGCAAAAAGATGGAATAACAGTAAATTGCAGAAGGCTCATTTGCAAAGGATGACATAAATCTGCATTTGCTACTGCATATGTATAGTGCCTATGTAATTTTCTTGATAACCCATAGCTAACCATTATCCTGTTTTTCAATAGATCTTTGACAATGGAGATTATTCATTTCTAATTCATGAGTCTTTGATTTTGAAATTTTATAGAGCTTCATAAAGAGTGAACATTTCATAAAGATGGAAGAACCATAACCCCATCAAATTCTTGGTAGACATTAATGTACAGTATATGTGAGACAGTTTATAGCTCTTTTGACAGAAGAAGAAACTTAAATGATTTAAACGTTATGTATTAGCTTGGGTGCTCAGGGATGAATCTGTGCTTCCTCAAGCCTATCTGTATTCCCAAAGAATTTGAAACAGGGTGAATTTCATTGATTTGATAATTGCTATAGAGCTGTGAATCCTCATTATAATATTGGGTAGGGGGGAAGGAAAGGCAAACATTAATCCTTTTTCCCCCCCCCGCCTCCGCTTAACTCAGCAGTGTTACTCTTCAGTTGGGTTTGTAACATTCGTTTGTTTTCCTAATATCTGTGCTAATTTTTGTTTCCTCAGTGTAAAGGGCATTAAGCATTTCTGAGGTTTGATTTAGTGCAATAAAACATGCAGAGAGGCTTTTCTCTCTAAACTATGACTTTAATTACTTTTTTGTAGCTGTTACTTCATGATTGACATAATTTTAATAACTTTGGGTGGGAGGGGTACTGTTGTTTATCCCAAAAACATTTCTTAAGAGAAGAGCTAGTTTTAAATTGTTTATTTGTAAAATGATAGCTTTATTTCCGTAACTTGGATCTTTCTAATAATAATATTGGTTTGGTATATCTGAAAAAAACAAAGCTATATGGGAGCGATGAATAAAAATTTATGTTCAACAATAAACAAAAATAAGCACACCTATAAATGTTTTAAATATTTCTCAGTTGTATTATTAATTAGAAGGCCCAAACAGCAATTGAAACTGTGTGAATTAATATTTAGGTGATTAAGTATGTATTGATAGACTAAACAAATTCTTGGAACTGTTACAATGTTGTGTAAACCTATTCAGCAAGGTTTTTCCGGAGCTGTTATGCTTTAAGGTAATGAATAAAACCTACATATAGTAGTAGACCAAATTCTGATCTCATTGACACCAGTGTAATTCCAGAGTAACTGCACTGATTGACACCAGTGTAATTCCAGAGTAACTGCACTGATTTAAGGGATTTACATGGCTTTAATCCAAATTTACTACACCAGTGTCACAGAGTGCAGAATTTGCTCCATTGTATTTTGAGAGGCCTCTTGAGAACCCTTATTTTTTGGCTGAAACTGGTCCATGTCAGATTTAAACTCATCAGTTTAAACCAGGAAATAAAAATCCATGAGATATAATCAGTTTGGTTTCTCCATTATGGGATGTAATTAACAGATCTTTGAAATTAGTATTTGATACCTGACAAAGAAACCAACACTAATAATTTTGATTGTATTCTGTGGAATGGAGGTTTTGTCTGATTAATGCCTATACAAATTTCTAAAATAGCTGACTGAAAGGAAATGTGTTTTATGATTGAATCTGCTAATCTGTCAAAAATAACACCTTCGCCATCTGAAATGGCGTTCTGCTGAATTGGGGAAAGGTTGTCTGCTATTCCTTGTTAATTCTTTTTCTGCTGCCGAGACCCATTTATTTCCCCTAACAACCCACACTTTTTATGGTCTGTTCATATTTAATTACAGAGTTTCTTAGGAGACAGGAAACAATGCTATTCTATTATGTGGTGAATTCTGGTTGTATTGGGTGACCTTAGGCAGATGGAGGTACCTTAGATGTCAGATGATATGCTCATGTATCTAGAAGTGCACTAACTGCTTCATTTGAGGCCCTGCATTCAATTTCTATAACTTAGGAACTGTGGTTGAGGGGAAATCCGAAAAAATGCTGGAGTAATCTTATACTGTTGTTCTGTAATTATTAACCTAGGGAATTTTTGGTTTATAGAGGCCCAGCAAAGGAGCAGTTATGCCACATCAAGTATCAATCTGATTTAGCACCCAAACTACCATTCTGACTTTGCTGCCTTGATGCAGTCTTTAAGTATAGAATTAATTCATTGTTTCATTTTGGTTTTTTTATGTGATTTACAGCGTGTGTCAAACAGTTTGAGATATTTATTTTATTTTTAAAATAGAAACCCTGTAACCTACTCAAGCTCTATCTAGGATATGATTAAGAACATAGGGCCAGAACAAGATATCAATTTTTAAGCAGAAATCCCTGTTGCTTCCAGTGGGAATTTTTGCTGAAAAATCGATGGCACAATCTGGCCTGTAGTCAATCGGGGATTTTTACAGCAAGAGCTACAGCCATATATTTACTTGATTTTAAAATTTGGTGGAGGGGAGAGCCCTGAAACACAGGGCCAGATGCTCAGCTGCTGTAAATCAGTTTAGTTCCATCGACTTCAGTGGAAAGAATGAGGTTGAAGCCTGTGGAAAATAAGGTTAGAAAACGGCCTGACTTTATACTCACACACAAACAACAGAACAAACAAACAAAACTCTAAATCTCTGTTTTCTTTTAAATGCAAGCAAATTTATTTCCCAAACATGTAATAGATATAGTATGGGCATTAGCTGGTCTCTAAAGAAAAGCATTTTGTCCTGTGTTAAATTTTGAGAGAAATTTCCAAATACCCAGAGATAAAGGTTACATTGTTTCTTTTTTATTTGTTCTGTTATGTTCAGATGTGAAAGATTGAATCCATTTTGTATATGCATTTTGCTGTGTCAAACACTATGACGGTTCATAAACATGGATTACAAAACCATAAAGATACGTTTTCTGTACTCCATAGGCTGGCTTTGGAGAAGTAGTGTATGAAGATGCACATTTATGGATTTAAGCAAATAAAATTTAAGAGCTTATAAATCCTCCAGTATTTGGAATTGCAGAGTATTTCAGTTTATCGGTATCTTTCTGGTAATGAGGTGCCCAGAATTGGAGGCAGTATTCCACATCTGCTCGTAGAAGTTATATAGAGAAGGGACTGTAATCAGCTAGCTTTGGTCATTGACTTCCTTGGTGTTTGTGGCCCAAATATATATCAGCCCTTTTCACTGCCATATCACACCGCAAATGCAAACTCATGCCTAATATCCTCTCTGTTTCAGAATTTACTGCTTTCCAGTTTTCTCCCTCTCATTATGTGTCTGTGTTTCAGCTTATTCCTGCTTGAACCCTATAGGGCCCAGTCCCATCTCCACGTCCTGCAGTTGTTCCTAGTCCTGCTACTACTACCCTTTGGGCTGAGATGTTCCTCACCCCTGAGTTTAAAGGCTGAGGAAGCAGGGCAAGATCCTGCTGTTGTTTTGAAGGAGGGCTGACAGGCTATACATTCCAGATATTGGAAGGTTACTTCTTAATCTCCTTGAAGACAGAAGATTGAGGGGAAGGGGAGGCAGTCAGCCACAGTCTAGATGGAGTACATATCACTGGGCCAACTACTCAGAAGACAACAGAAGTTAATAAGGTGGAAAGGTTGAGGAGGAAGAAGAGGGTATAATAAGCTGTAAGTGTTGTCTGAACTCACTCACTGCTGGAAATTATCAAGTGTTAGGGCTTTTTTATTTACTACAGTGTGGTAGTTTTTTGAATGTCATTGTGTGAGAACATCAAAGAGATTATAAGGAGCCTCTGTAAAGCGTTATGGCATGGTTAAAGGCTGGGGCAAGGAGACTGAAGTTTGATTCCTAAATCTTTATTTGATCAAAGATGTTACTGTACACAATAGTGTCCGTTTTTTGCAGTGTAGTTAGTACTATGCAGCATCACAGTCTCACATTTTACCATGGATTGTCTTTGTCTACTATATGTAAAGAGCAGATGGTAGAGAGGGTAGTAAAAATGTAAGAATAAATATAGAACCAGAGACATTTAAAGGGTTAGTTAAACATAATTAGGGCCATGATCTGCCATTGATCTATAGGTGTTCTGCACAAAAGACAATGAGAAGGTATGGTCTTATTTTCAGTGTATTTAACATACTGATAATCTAATGAGCTACCATATTCTTTATTAAATCATCTTTGCTTTACCAAAGAAGTCTGCATAATTAAACTTCATTATACAGAAAAAACACTTTTCTCCCTCAGATGCTGTGCAGGAAGCTATCAGCTTGTCCTCATATTTCTGTAAAAGTAGTTAGCAAAGCACTGTTTGTGTTCTCTATATGTGTATTATTTTTAAAGCAAATGTGTATCTAAATGGACACGCAACCTGCAATAAAAGATGTTCTCGGTTGTCAACAACTGACAGTAATTAACAATTATTGTTAAGCGGGAGAACAAAAAGCACTTAGGTGAGCCTAGGGTTTGGTTATCTTTTTAAGCATGCTGTAGCCATATTCACCTTTTCTAACTGTGCTTAGCCA